GAAGATATAAAAAAACGTATCAAGATATATGATAGCATATGAAGATATAAAATAACGTATCAAGATATGATATGATAACATATAAAGATATAAAATAACGTATCAAGATACGAAAACATATGAAGATATAAAATAACGTATTCAGATATGATATGATAACATATGAAGATATAAAATAACGTATCAAGATATGATATGATTACCTATGAAGGAATGAAATAATGTATCAAGACATATGATAACATATGAAGATATAATATGACGTATCAAGATATATGATTACATATGAAGATATAAAATAACGTATCAAGATATGATAACATATGAAGATATAAAATAACGTATCAAGATATGATATATCATATGAAGATATAAAATAACGTATCAAGATATCATAACATACGAAGATATAAAATAACGTACCAAGATATGATATGATAACATATGAAGATATATAATAACGTATCAAGATAAGATAACATATGAAGATATAAAGTAACGTATCAAGATATGATAACATATGAAGATATAAAATAACGTATCAATATATAACATATGAAGATATAATATAACGTATCAAGATATGATATAATAACATATGAAGATATAAAATAGCGTAACAAGTTTTAACATATGAAGATATAAAATAACGTATCAAGATATGATGATAACATATGAAGATATAAAATAATGTATCAAGGTATGATAACATATAAAGATATAAAATAACGTATCAAGATATGATATAATAACATATGAAGATATAAAATAACGTATCAAGATATGATATGGTTACATATGAAGATATAAAATAACGTATCAAGATATGATAACATATGAAGATATAAAATAACGTTTCAAGATACGGTATGAAAACATATGAATATATAAAATAACGTATCAAGATATGATAACATATGAAGATATAAAATAATGTATTAAGATATGATATGATAACATATAAAGATATAAAATAACGTATCAAGTTATGATATGATTACATATGAAGATATAAAATAACGTATCATTATATAACATAAGAAGATATAAAATAACGTATCAAGATATGATATGGTTGCATATGAATATATAAAATAACGTATCAAGACATGATAGCATATGAAGATATAAAATAACGTATCAAAATATGATATGATTACCTATGAAGAAATAAAATGACGTATCAAGATATATGATAACATATGAAGATATAACATAACGTATCAAGATATGATATGATATCATATGAAGATATAAAATAACGTATCAATATATGAGAGCATATGAAGATATGAAATAACGTAGCAAGACATGATAACATATGATGATATAAAATAACGTTTCACGATAAGATAACAAATGAAGATATAAAATAACGTATCAAGACATAACATATGAAGATATAAAATAACTTATCAAGATACGATATAACATATAAAGATATAAAATAACGTATCGAGATATAACATATGAAGATATAATATAACGTATCAAGATATGATAACATATGGAGATATAAAATAACGTATCAAGATATGATATGATAACATATGAAGATATAAAATAACGTATCAAGATATATGATAATATATGAAGATATAAAATAACGTGTCAAGATATGATATGATAACATATGAAGAGATAAAATAACGTTTCAAGATATGATATGATAACATATGAAGATATAAAATAACGTATCAAGATATAACATATGAAGATATAAAATAATGTATTAAGATAGGATATGATAACATATGAAGATATAAAATAACGTATCAAGTTATGATATGATTAGATATGAAGATATGAAATAACGTATCAATATATAACATATGAAGATATAAAATAAGGTATCAAGATACGATAACATATGAAGATATAAAGTAACATATCAAGATATGATATGATTACCTATGAAGGAATAAAATAACGTATCAAGATATATGATAACATATGAAGATATAAAATAACGTATCAAGATATGATATGATTACATATGAAGATATAAAATAACTTATCAATAGATGATAACATATGAAGATATTAAATAGCGTATCAAGATATGATAACATATGAAGATATGAAATAAGGTATTAAGATATGATAACATATGTAGATATAAAATAAGTTATCAAGATATGATATGTATCATTTGAAGGTATAAAATAACGTATCATGTTATGATAACATACGAAGATATAAAATAACGTATAAAGATATGTTATGATAACATATGAAGATATAAATTAACGTATCAAGACATAACATATGAAGATATAAAATAACGTATCAAGATATGATATGATAACATATAAAGATATGAAATAACGTATCAAGATATGATAACATTTGAAGATATAAAATAACGTATCAAGATATATGAAAACATATGAAGACATAAAATATCGTATCAAGATATATGTTAACATATGAAGATATAAAATAACGTATCAAGATATGATGACATATGAAGATATAAAATAACGTATCAAGATATGATATGATAACATGGATATAAGATATGAAGATATAAACTAGCGTATCAAGATATAAGATATGAAGATATAAAATTACGTATCAAGATATAATATGATAACATATGAAGATATAAAATAAGGTATCAAGATATGATATGGTTCCATATGAAGATATAAAATAACGTATCGAGATATGATAACATATGAAGATATAAAATAACGTATCAAGATATATGATAGCATATGAAGATATAAAATAACGTATCAAGATACGATAACATATGAAGATATAAAGTAACATATCAAGATATGATATGATTACTTATGAAGAAATAAAATAACGTATCAAGATATATGATAACATATGAAGATATAAAATAACGTATCAAGATATGATATGATTACATATGAAGATATAAAATAACTTATCAATAGATGATAACATATGAAGATATTAAATAGCGTATCAAGATATGATAACATATGAAGATATGAAATAAGGTATCAAGATATGATAACATATGTCGATATAAAATAAGTTATCAAGATATGATATGTATCATATGAAGGTATAAAATAACGTATCAAGTTATGATAACATACGAAGATATAAAATAACGTATAAAGATATGTTATGATAACATATGAAGATATAAATTAACGTATCAAGATAAGATAACATATGAAGATATAAAATAACGTATCAAGACATAACATATGAAGATATAAAATAACGTATCAAGATATGATATGATAACATATAAAGATATAAAATAACGTATCAAGATATGATAACATTTGAAGATATAAAATAACGTATCAAGATATATGAAAACATATGAAGACATAAAATATCGTATCAAGATATATGATAACATATGAAGATATAAAATAACGTATCAAGATATGATGACATATGAAGATATAAAATAACGTATCAAGATATCATAACATATGAAGATATAAAATAACGTATTAAGATATGATAACATATGAAGATATAAAATAACGTATCAAGATATGATAACATATGAATATATAAAATAACGTATCAAGATATGATATGATAACATGGATATAAGATATGAAGATATAAACTAGCGTATCAAGATATAAGATATGAAGATATAAAATTACGTATCAAGATATAATATGATAACATATGAAGATATAAAATAACGTATTAAGATATGATAACATATGAAGATATAAAATAACGTTTCAAGATATATGATAACATAAGAAGATATAAAATAGCGTATCAAGGTATGATATGATAACATATGAAGATATGAAATAACGTATCAAGATATAAAATATGAAGATATAAAATAACGTATCAAGATATGATATGATAACATATGAAGATATAAAATAACGTATTAAGATATGATATCATATGAAGATATAAAATTTCCATAAGAGACAAAAAGGAATTGATTGTCATCGCTGGACACCACCTAAATATATTATTCTATTTAATCTCAATTTTGCTTTTATAATTGAATAATTTTACATTATTTATAATTCTGATTCATTTTCCTTTGATTTTTTTAGGACAAGGTAAAAGTAGTAATTAGAAAATATTTTATTAAATGATATTTAAACATTTGTTTGCTGGAAGTTTTTGACAGAATTAAATAGTTCACTGATCACCGGGATGCAATTCTGAATGTCGAGTATTTAACCTAAAATTTACCATTAAAAACCTTTCCTCGAAAAACGGTAAAGGCATAGAAAGAAATATCGTGTATCATTATATAGGATGTCAAATCTCAACTTTCAAAGTGAGTGCAATATCACGCTTCCAAAACCGAACTGGCCTTGTGGAACACTTCCAATTTCTTGCTTCCCTGCCGCTTAAAATCTTCAGAAATGTCTACATAGCAAGTGTATCCTAAAAGTTTGCATGCTTCCGCGGAAACAAGTGCTCCCATGGATACGCAAAAGTCTGAGTTATTTCTTTTAGTCCATATACTTCCATCATGAAATAGTATCGTTTTTTTTTTTTTTTTTTGGCCTGTCTTATTTACTTCTATAACAGTAGTTCTTTGCTAAATTAACAGTGGCCATCAATAGATCTTCCGATTTCTTGATTCCCTGCGTCTTACAATCCCATGGTACGCAAAGTCTGGTTTATTTCTCTTAGTCCATAGACTTCCGTCGTGAAATAGTATCGGTTTATGTGTCTGTCTTCTTATTTTTACTTCTTGGTCAGAAATATGAAAGTAGTTCCTTGCTAAATTAATGGCAGCCATCAGTAGATCTTTGTGATGGATGGGTAGAAGTCAGAGATATGAAACTGTAAGAATGTGCATTCCTATTTCTTTTTTATTCTTGTTGTAACCCAGGAAGGGTTACTGAATGAGGAATAACCAAAACGGAGGTTGGAAATGAAATGGTAATCTTTATAATATCAACAAAATACAATACTCGCCAGCTGCGTGAAGTGCTAATGGTTGACTACTTAGACAGCCTATTACTCCCACTTACAACGTATTTATGAGGATTGGAACATACCCATTAATATTCATAGGTATGGTATATAACCGAATGAAAGAAAGAAAGAAAGAACAAACAAACAAAACTAAGAAAAGATAGGACAGAAGAAGAGAGAAAAGATAAAATAATAAAGAAACTTAAGGGAAACAGATAATAAAAAAGCAAATAGAGGAAAAAGAATAAATAAATGAAAAGAAAGAAAGAAAGAAAAAAGTGGGTAGAATTATGTGACGACGAACGATCAAAAGAATGAAACAGACGAAAAGAAACAAAGAAACAAAGAAAGAAACATGAAAGAAGAGAGAAAGGGGTAAATATAAAATGAAAGGAGAACAGATAATTCTGTGAAAATGCAAATAGGGAAAAAGAAAGAAAGAAAGAAGGGGGTAGAATTATGTGACGACGAACGATCAAAAGAATGAAACAGACGAAAAGAAAGAAAGAAAGAAACAAAGAAACATGAAAGAAAAGGGACAGGGGTAAATATAAAATGAAAGAACAGATAATTCTGTGAAAATACAAATAGGGAAAAAGAAAGAAAAAAAGAAAGAAAGAAAGCAGAATAATATGACACGGAACAAGAAAAGAAATGCAAGAAAGAAAATGTTTTAACCTAAAAGGGTTACTGAATGAGAAATAAGCAAAACGATGGTTGGAAATGAGGATGGTAATCCGTATAACATCAACAAAATACAATACTCGCCAGCGACGTTATGTAGGTAAACCACTGTTAGTGGTGGACTACTTAGACAGCATATTACTCCCACTTCCAATAGTGCCCTACGTATTTATTAGGATTGGGACATAGCCATTAGTGTTCATAGATAAGCTATATAACAATAATATTGAAGCATTCAATAGCTTTAGATCTATTTCGTCACTGTTTGGTACGTAAAGACTTTTCCGTATACATGCACGCTTTTTTCTTGATGCTTTTGCTGATAATACCGATGTTATTTTTGGATGGATTCAGTAGTCGGAATGAAGGTGAGGGGGAGGGGGTAATTTAGGAAATTCTCCTCGTGTTCTTTAATCGTGACGAATGCCTGTTTGTGTAATTTTGGTATTCTATCGCCTATTTTCAGCTCGGTCGCTGTTGCCTTGGCATCACGGTTCATAGTTGTTTTTTTTTTTCCACTTGTCAGCCGCATTTTTATAAAATTTATTGACTTCTGTATTGAGAGCTTTTGTTGTATTCTTTCCGACGTTCTGGGGTGGTCATTTGGTTGACGGTCTTGATGCGATCATAATAAAGTTTTCCTCTCTCTCTCTCTCTCTCTCTCTCTCTCTATCTATCTATCTATCTATCTATCTATCTCTATCCTCTCTCTCTTTCTCACTCACTCTTTCAGTCTCTATCTATCTATCTATCTATATCCTATCTCTCCCTCTCCCTCCCTCTCTCCCTCTCTCTCTCTATCTATCTCTATCCTCTCTCTCATTCTCTCTTTCACTCTATTCATCTATCTATCTATCTATCTATTTATATCCTCTCTCACTCACTCTTTCACTGTCTCTCTGTATCTATCTATATCCTCTCTCTCCCTCTCTCTATCTATCTATCTCTATCCTCTCTCTCACTCTCTCTTTCACTCTCTCTCTATCTATCTATCTCCTCTCTCTACCTCTCTCTCTCTATCTATCTATCTCTATCCTCTCTCACTCTCTCTTTCACTCTCTATCTATCTATCTATCTCCTCTCTCTACCTCTCTCTCTCTATCTATCTATCTCTATCCTCTCTCACTCTCTCTTTCACTCTCTCTCTCTCTATCTATCTATCTATCTCCTCTCTCTACCTATCTCTATCTATCTATCTATCTATCTATCTCTATCCTCTCTCTCACTCTCTCTTTCACTCTCTCTCTCTATCTATCTATATCCTCTTTCTCCTCTCTCTCTTTCTCTCTCTCTCAGTCGTCGGTCGCTAATCGGTTTTACTTCGGTGGTAAAAGAGAACTTCAGCAAAGGAATTTTAACATAACTATTTTATTCAACACGTCGACCTGTAGAATTTCTAACTCACCAGCAACGTTTCTATTCCATCTCACCGGAAGCAGTTTCCAGGCAGGAAATAATATGTCTAGATTCTTCGACCTGTAAAACTCGACTCCTTGAAATCTCTTTCTCTAACATTCCCACGCTAGTTTTAGCCAATCAAAATCAACTTCCATTCTTTTCCTGTATCTAACCACAAAGGTCCAAATTATGAAGTCTGAGTAGAAATACAATTCTCTAAAAATACAATTCTCTAAAAAATACAATTTCTAAAAAATTTTAGCCAATCAAAATCAACTTCCATTCTTTTCCTGTATCTAACCACAAAGGTCCAAATTATGAAGTCTGAGTAGAAATACAATTCTCTAAAAATACAATTCTCTAAAAATACAATTCTCTAAAAATTTTAGCCAATCAAAATCAACTTCCATTCTTTTCCTGTATCTAACCACAAAGGTCCAAATTATGAAGTCTGAGTAGAAATACAATTCTCTAAAAATACAATTCTCTAAAAATACAATTCTCTAAAAATTTTAGCCAATCAAAATCAACTTCCATTCTTTTCCTGTATCTAACCACAAAGGTCCAAATTATGAAGTCTGAGTAGAAATACAATTCTCTAAAAATACAATTCTCTAAAAATACAATTCTCTAAAAATTTTAGCCAATCAAAATCAACTTCCATTCTTTTCCTGTATCTAACCACAAAGGTCCAAATTATGAAGTCTGAGTAGAAATACAATTCTCTAAAAAATAGTCTTATATACTCTTATTTAACATTTTATAGTATAATTCCGCGTCGATGTAATACTGGTTACGGGTCGAATCCGATTTGATAATTATCTTATCAGATTTCTTGATCTTATCAATGTCATTTCGAATTTTATGTTGTATGTCGTTAGAGTGTTTATTAAATTTAATATTTTTCGAAATTCGATAGTAGTTTGTCGGATGGTGTATTTTTCGTTCGAAAGTTCGTTCCCTTGGTTCATTAATTCTTCCATATTTTTATACTTAATCATCATGATTTTTTACTTGTATGCATATATTGCATCTGTCCCAGAAGTTATTAGGAGTCTGAGATTGACAGATGATCCTCCATTTAATTGGTGGGATGAAGCACAAATTAAATGGAGGATCATCTGTCAATCTCAGACTCCTAATAACTTCCGGGACAGATGCAATCTATGCATATGGGAAAAATTCATAATGATTAAGTATTAAAATGCTGATGAATTATTAAACCAAGGGAACGAACTGTTCTTCAAGTGTAGACAAAAGAACAGATTTAAAATTCCCTAAAAGCATTCATTTTGGAGGATTTACACTTGAAGTACTGATTCTGTTTTATATGGGTACTAACATTCAGACATACATGCATTCACGTTTTATATTTTCTTATTATATGATCATTTGTGTGATTTTCTTGCCCACATCAGTTATAATCTTAAATTGTTTCTTAATTTGATATTTTTATATTATCTTTATTATATTATTATTATTATTTTATTTTATCCTTATCACTCGCTCTGTATATACATGTGTGTGTGTTTGTGTTTATATGTATGTATATGTGTTTATGTATATATATATATATATATATATGTTTGCAAAATTTATTTTTTAGTTCCTTAAATTTTTCTTTATTTGTGTTTTAATTTTAATTAATTAATTTATTTAATTATTTTATTAATTAATATTTTATGTATATATTTTTATTTATAATTGTATATTTTCTATTTTTCTATTTTTAACTTTTATTTGAATTTATTTTACTTTAACTTACTTATTTTATTGATGTCAAATATTATTATTATTGTTATCAGTTTGAAATTGTGATGATTATAATGCGATGGTGATGATTGTTTCGAAAATGAAATGACAACTTTTCTACTTTCTCCCCTCCCGCGCCATTTTTTGTTTTAACTTTTCGAGTCCTTAAAGAAAAATAATTTGTGGTTTTACCCAATCGGCTCATGTTTAATTCAACATTTCTTTCCCTCCCTCTCTCACTCTCTTATTCCCACTCCCTCTTCTCTCTTCTCTGTATCTCTCTCCTTCTTTTCCCTAAATTTTAAAAACATTATATTGAAATTTGTATTTTTCTTTCATCCTCTTTTGATATTAAAACTTTTTTTTTTCCTTTTCGTTTTTCTTTTTTCTTTTTCTTCTCCCATTTTCTTTTGTCTGGATAAATTGACTCCATTAATTAAGAGAACGTTGGTCTGAAGAGATGAATATATTTTTGTATATTCATGAATTAGATTATAACCGAATGGATTTTTGAGGATCGTCTGGACATATTATAATTACACATGCAGACGCACGCGCGCGCTCTCTCTCTCCCTCTCTCTCTCTCTCACACACACACACACACACACACACACACACACACACACACACACACACATATATATATATATATATATATATATATATATAAACCCGGGAAATCCTTGTTGACAACACAACTATACTTAAACATGAAAACAATAAACAAAAATTAAACATTCTTGAAGCTATATACACAAAATAGTTGAAACCTAACCTGAACAAAATAAACTATGAAATCTCCACATATATTCTTAAATGTCTATAATTTATAACAGAAGCCACTGGTTTATACCAACCGTTTCCCATACTTAATACTTCTCGAATTCACTCTCGCGTGGTCATGTGTGACGTCACGAGCTGCGATACGATTTTCGCTTCCGCGTCTCGTATATACATCGTTACTTGGAAATTTTCAAACAGCAAGGGCGGACTATTAATATTGTTTCGTACGTGTATTGTTTAATTTATTGAAATTGTCATCTTTGATAATGGCTTTTGTAAGCCGAAAGCTTAGATTGGATTCAAACATGTAACAATATGGTGTTTTCCTTTAGTCTTTCAACGATAATATGATTAAGCTTATAAGACAATATGAAAGGAACTTAAAATAAATAGACAAAACTTGTCTATATTATTTAATGAAACATGCATTTATATATATATATATATATATATATATATATATATATATATATATATAATATAAAAAATAAATATTCAAAAAAATAAATATTAAATTTTTACATTGGCCACGCATGAACCATACTTTCACGCACGTTAAGTTGCCATTTGTTGAAATTTACTGCAATTCATTCACATATAGATGTACATGGGACACACTGACAAAATAATAGTAACAAAAGACATATTAAAGTTGACAACTCCAAAGTTCAAAGAAGACTCCAAGTTCCAGAGGCTGTTTGAATACAAGAGAAGGAGCCAACATTGAATAAGGTATCTTTCCCCAAAGAGGAACCTATATTGAAGTATATTAAAAAAAAAAATTATGAAAAGGAACTAGAGAAAAATGACAGCGAGTCCCAACAAACACTCACGTTGTTTGCACAAAGAAGGCTTATAAGACCCGATGTAAAGTGCCTCCAGAACCTTTAGATGAAATAAAGAGAGAGACCCGGACAACACGGTGAACCAGTCAACACTAAATTTGGCTGCATTTTTTTTTTTTTTTACAATTCCTTTTGTTGTACATTTTTCTGTGTGAATTTAAAATCTCCTGTTGAAGCCTGAAGAGCGTCTTATATATGATGAATGTTAATATCAGAGTGTCACTGTCTCACACGTTTTCAATTAAAGGGAAGCAACTTTCTAACTTTCAATAGCTCATGTTACAGAAATTTGGAATTCCTAGGTTTGCATTACTACGATTGTTTTCAGTAATTTTTTTACGTTATTTTCTGCGATGGAATTTTTTGTACGATAACAATTTTCCTAATTTGGAAATAAATTTGGGAATAATCAAAATTAATTGCGAAATCCAACGAAAGTGATCCATGAAATAAAAATATTTGTTTGTGTGGAAAGTCAGGACCTACGTATATCAAAACGTCTTTATATTCAATGGCAGCAGAAGAATTATTGTCGAACTTTTAAAAGGTAAGCTTAAATATTAATGCAATATTTAAATACCGCGCACAGCTGTTGAGGAGAACTTCTAATGCTGATAATATGCAAAGACTTACTGTATCTCAAGTTCATGAACAAGTCGAAGACACAATCAGCAGCAATCCACAGGAGCGAGGTTAATTGCCGCCCGATAGGGCGGCTTTTAAGCTAGTTATTACTAAAGTGGCAATGATTATGAGAAAAAGAGTATATAATTTTCGTGTATTTATACACATCAGATAGATAAATAGTGATATAAACTCATATTCATATATATATATATATATATATATAGTGTGTGTCTGTGTGTTTGTGTTTAGGCAGCAAACCTTCACTTATGCATGTTTCATTAAAAACGACAGACAAGATAATACGGTTCAGCTTTTTATTTAATGTTTTAATTTAATAAGTACTTTGATTTTTTTACTCGGGTAAAAAAAAAATCAAATTACTTATCTACTATAATACTTTCAGACAACTAAATTTATCCTCAAAAATAATAACACACCAGCTAAGTGAAAATTTCAACAAACGAACATTATCTATGAGTTCAAATGCCCCTTAAGAAACTGTGTTCCTGATCAAACCGTACTCATAAATATTTACATCGGTCACACAACTATATGCCTTTACGTTACACCTACCTGACCATAGCTCTATTAGGACCCATTTAAGCACACACACAAACCTACCAGACTTCATTCGAAACATACTAGTAGAAAACACAAATATATGGAAGCCCTAATAATAAAAAAGAAAAAGCTAACTCTTAACAATATTAACTACGAACAAGGCCACAATGTGCAAATCGTGTTCGGAAAATAAAACATCTCTATAAAACACTAAAAACATACACATACCATGCACACTCAGATAGACGTCTGGATAAGCATGTAGTTGTGAAACCGATGTAATTATTTATGAGTCCGGTTTGATCAGGAACACAATTCCTTAAGGGGCATTTGAACACATGTTC